AAAATCCAAAACCCAAGCCTACCAACTAGCCAAGCCCAAAATCCCAATACCCATTTAACCCAAACCCAAAAACAAAAAAAAACAAAAAAACAAAAAAAAAAAAAAGAAAAAAAGAAAAAAAGAAGGTGTCTGGAACCTTCTCTTTCCCCATCAAATTTGTTTTTTTGCCCCGAACCAACCCGCGCCCTGCGCCCTGCGGCCCGAACCCACGTCCCCTGCACGTCCAAGCCTCGCCCTTGCACCAGCCTGCGCCCTTGCTCCCTGCTCTGCGCCCGACGTGCCTCATGCACCCAGATCCCGCGCAATCATCACTCCTACACCTGCTCTGCACCGAATCTGCATCAATCTCCAGCTCTGCACTACGCCAGCCTTCTTCTGCACCAAATCCCCTTGCCGCCTGCTGTGCCGAACCCACGTTGCTTGCATGCCTGCACTCTGTACCAGCATCATGACCTTGCACCGAGCCCTGTTGCACCCCTGCTGCTCTGCCTCTGCACGCTACAGTAGCTCTAGACAAATTAGCATTAATATTGATTGACAGAACAAGGCTTTTTTATTATTTTTATCTTTATTTTTATCTTTTATTCGGGTATATATATAGAGAAAAATCAGATTGAAAAGGGGTGTAATATCCCAAATTTTTGGGAATATTTAAGAGTAAGTTAAGGACTTGATTGTGAGAAAAGATTGTTTTGGGGCCTAATGTGAATATTTTAAAAGTTTAGGGACTTAAAAAGGGAAAGATTTTGGATAAGGATGACTTCTTTTCTTTTTCTCTTTCTTTCTTCCTTTTCTTCCTCCTTAGAGCCGATTCTGCTCTTCTTCTCGCTGCAGCCCGAGAGGAAAAAAAAAAGGGGGAACCCAGCCATGCCTTTGAGAAACCGGTGAGATAAGCTTGGTTTTCTCCTTCCTTTCTTGCTCTAGAACACACCTAGAACCCAGAAATCTTCCCCCCCTGCTGGAAAAGCCAGATCTGCCCTGCTCTGCTTTGTCCTTCCGCCGACTGCTCTTGATTGTGGGTGATTTTTGGGCATTTTTTTCGGTAAGAACAGCCCCTAATTCCTTTGTTCTTGCTTGAATTGGCTTGGGTTAACTTTGATTGCTCTTATTTCCTTCAATTTTGGGTAGTTCCCGTGAGCTTCCCCTGCACCTGCCGCCGGCTTCTCTCCCCCTACAGCTCCGGTTTCTACAGCTGGAGAATTATGGTATGTGGCAGCTTCTCTAAGTGCAAGTTTAGCCATTTAATTGCTGCCCTTTGTGTCTGAAATTCTGGATTAATTAGGGGAGAAAATTGATAGTAATTAGACCATGATTTAGCCTGATTCAAGTGAATTTATGTGATTGAGTGTTAATTGACTGCTATGTGATTTTTGGAGAAAATCCCGTGAGATTAGATAGTGTTTTGGCCAATTTGTGGGAGTGGAGTTACTGTTCACGTCGGGGTCACTGTTCACCAACACTGTTCACCGGTTACTGTTCACACCCCGAGGGCCAACATTTAACGGGAATTTAAATGATTAGTTTGTGATATGAGAACGAATTTGGAGATATTTGATCATGTGGAGATTGATAGGAATAGCATCGGGATTAAGAGTGATCCTAATGATGATTTCAATGTGAATTTGTGATAGTATGATATTGATTCTCAGATTTTTTGATTAGGTTCTCGATTGTTCTGTCAGTTAGCATTGAGATTGAGTGCTCGGTTTTATGCGAGTGAGGTAAGTAAATTTATGGTAATGCCTGTACTGTTTTTAAAAGTATGTTTTGATTTGTTTTTGAAGTGGTGGTGGGACTAAACCCGTTTTACACAAGCATGACTAATTTGAAGTGAAATGTCTTATGCTTTTCATTAAATTGAGCATGCCTACTTGAAATTTAATGATTGTCCTGATGATCTGAAAGTGATTGGTAAATTATGTTTTTCTGTTAACTTCAGCCTGTTTTGTCTACGATGTGGTTATGTTCTTGTAACCCTGCTAGTGGGGGTTAAACGCTAGCACATGTCGGCACATGTCGATATGTTCCTTTTAGAACCGGTTCATTCCTGTAATCCTACTGGTGGGAGTTAAACACTAGTAATTCCTGTTGCCTGCCAGTGAGAGGTTTAAACACTGGCCATGACCTATAGAGGAGACGTCTATTTCGTTCCCGTACCGTATCTATTTTCGTAATTGTACTTGTTGGCATGCTACAAGTTTAATTAAGGGCACTCCATATTTTACTTACTGAGTTTATCTCATATTTTTTCCTTGTCCACCATTTTAGGAAGTGAAACCGAGGACGGGGAAACCACGGGAAGTGACGAGTTAGAAAGCTAGCCATTTTGAGATTGATATAGATTCTAGAAATCATGATCTTGTAAGCTAGAGTGTACTTGGAGATTTTATGATATCAGAGTAAATTTTAAAGATTTGATCTTCAGATTTTG